CTTCTCTCTAAAGGGACGGCGGAAAGCAGTGGTAGGGCTGGGGGAGACGTGGCTGGACTGACCTGAGGAGAAGTCCTCCTCACTGGATGTCAGGTTCTCGTTGGAGCTGCAGTCCGGTGTATAACCGCCACCTCCACCTACATCCTCAAAGCTACCTGGGGAATAGGAGCGACGAGGCCAGGTCAGAAGGTGATCGTCACATCCACCATGTTCTCTCATTGTGACTCCACTGCTGCTACTTCCACCACCCCCTCGTCCATCTCCACTGCCACCTTCACCCATCATCACCCCACCAACATAGACGCTGGAGTAGGCTTGGAACTCAGAGGGCTGCCAAGGAGGGGGAGGTGGTTTTCCCCCATTGGCCCTTCCTGAATGCCGTTGATTGGGTTCCCCATCTTCATACTCTGCATCATAACCACAGGTGCTTTCAGTGGACCTTCCTCGATAGACTGGCCTGGCACGGAGCTCCCCTGCCACCGTAGCCAGATTACCTGGAAGGGAGTGAAGAGATCTCTTTCGCTCCATCTGCATGGCCTGGCTGCCTAGTGAGCTGATCTTGTCAGAGACGTCACGGTCATTGACCCTGACTAAACCCCTGTCATGGTGGAACTCCATGTTGGTATATAGCGGTGGTGGTGGCAGCGGCTGCTTCTCCTGGCCCTTTGCTACATCACCTGCTGAGTGCGAGTTTGCCCGTTTGATCCTCTCAAAGTTGGATCTAAGAGCTGCCACACCAAGTCCCATTCCAAGCTTGTCCTTGGGGTCAGTGGGAAGGTCCTTGTCAGGGGGTGGAAGGGTGGGCCTGCGGGGTGACACAGTAACACCACCTCTCTGCTTTGATGGCGACAGGCCATCGAGGTTGTCGCAGGAAGTTGACTCTGCTTGCTGAGGTACATCAAAGGCTGACTCCAGGCCATCACCGTGGGAGGCTGACTTCCTGGCAGGTGGAGGTCTGGGTTTGGACCTGCCAGATCCATCTCCTAGAGGCTGAAAACGGCTCCTATCCCCACTACCACCACCACCACCATATCCTCCACCACCTCCTCCTATGCCAACTACACCAGTCTCCTGCATGTGTGGCTGCTGGGATTGGATTTCAGCACCCTGTGTGGCTGCAGGGTCCATCCCCTCATTCAAAGGTGTCTTTCTGAAGCCCCACCGCTGTTTGTCATAGCTCTTTCTCTCTTTGGCCAGGAGGGTCTGGAGGTAGATCATGCGGAAGCGCTCCTTGTTCACCTCCTGCTCCAGGCGTCTAATGGATGCTTTGCACTTTTCCAGCTCCTGCTCGATGCCCCCGACAGACCGCAGCTCCATCTTGGGGGGCTCTGACTCTGGGAACTGCGCCTTCCACGCCTCAATGAATCCCACCGGCTCCACCATATTATGTGGAGATTTTTAGGGTGGGGGGGTTGTGACCAGCTCTGGTTCACAAACAGAGGGCGGGGGGTGATGTCAAGTGTGCACTGTTTTACCCTCCTTTGTTTTTATTCCGATCACCACAGATTCCTTATCGACAACAATGGCCACTTCCAGTAGCAGTGACAATGGTTAAAGGTAACCCGTTCACAAGCACACAGTCTAATTGCACACACTTGTCTTAGGTTGCGCAGTCGCAACAATACATCCCATTCTGAACAAGAGAAACCGGCTGTTCAGTTACAGAAAAACTAGGGAATGTGCGAGATATAGAGATGAATAAAAATCTGTAATCGAGTTCATAATTCTTGTGCATTATTCCAGAAAAGGCCACTTTTGAATCGTTTTTTCTCCCCTAAATCAGCGTCGAAACAATGACAGTATGTCTTCGCAGGGTGACACTGGTGGTCTGTTTCCCACGGAGAAAAAAAAAGAAAGAAAGTGTTTTAATCCTGCTTGGTTTACTCACTCGCTGTCTGTGTTTACCATCCCAGGTTTGTGCGCGGTTCATTCACTCTTGCCCATTCATATGGCTGTAATCCCAGGTGCTGCTGCTGGTCCTGACCAAGCGCCTTTGTACCATCAGCGCTGAAGGAGAATGGATAAAAAGCGCAAAATGCAAGCCACGACAACATCTGTTTAATAGGGGAAGGGATCAAGCGGTGGATCCGGTATTAATTATATTGCTCGTTTCGTTATCCCATTTTTCCACAGCACCTATGTGGTATTTTTTTTAATCAGTTCCCTTCCAGATTTATCCCGTTTCTTCGGCCGTGAAAGTGCCGCTGTGCGCGCTCCCATCTCAGGCCAGTAGCACTGGAGGGCTGCAAGAATGGGAGGGACCAGAGCCACAGTGAGTCTGCTGGTTAAAGAGACAGAGCTGGGGTACACATATTTGGTTTTCATTGAGCTTTAATTGTCTTTTAAATAAAATGTATCCGTCCAAGCAAGTTCAAATACACTACTGTAGTTTGTCATAAATTAATGGCTCTTAGTAAAATCTGAACTCATATTTTACATCAGGAAACACAGGGTACCACTACTGCCAGTGTTCTCGCTGCTGTATACATTTTTATTAAGAGCAGTTAATATAGATTAAGAATTATTACAGCTTCTGGGTTCATTTGAATTTTACCTGTGTAGCAGGTGTTACTGATCGTGTAGGTGTACTGCTATCTATAACCTAACACTGCCACCCAGTGGAGTAACGTACATACGGCGAACGTGTAATGTAATTCCGTAGCTGACTTTTTTGTTAACCACAAAGTTCAGGTCAGCTCAATTTAATTTATATATCCACAAATCACAACAGTAGTGGGTCTGACCCTACAGTAATACAGAGACCCCTATGAGCAAGCACTTACTTGGAAGTGGGAAGGAAAAACTCCCTTTTAACAGGAAGAAACTCCCGTAGTGCACACAGTGAAAATGTGAGCTCAGGAAGTAGAGCAGCCAATCATCTAATTTGAAGGTTGGTGGTTGGATACCTGGTTCCTCCAGTCTGAATGCCAAATACGGTTGGGCAACATGCTAACCCAATGTTGCTTTCAAGTGCATCAGAGTGTGAATGTTAGAACTCAAGCACAGAAAAAAAGTGCGTGTATGAACGGGTACATGAAGCCTACTGTAGAAAGAGCTTTGAGCGCTCAGGTAGAGTAGAGGAAGAACCAGTCCATTTACCATAACTTCAGTACAATAATAAAAGGAAGAAGCAGACAATTCAAATGCTATGTATTTTTATTTACCTGAAATCACAACCTCAGTAATGCATGGTAACCATTACAAGTCTTCAATAATGATCGTCTTTTGTTTTGTTTTTTTTTTAAAATATGGTTACTATTGTTCTTCAACCAGGTTTCACTGAAGAGTTTCTACCGTCCCTTCCCCCAAATTAGATCACAGTTTTACAGCAGTTCATAAGGATACATTATCAGAATTATACAGAGGCAATAAGAAAACAGAACACTGTTGTATTGCAGGATTACCAATGAATCAGTGTCAGTCTGTTGTACTCATCGCAAAAGACTTCTTCAAAGTAAATGGGTCAGTGATCAGCCTACAGTAGGAGTAAAATTCAAATGACCAAAGTACAGTCAAGTTTAGCATCACTCATTTATCCACATTAATATTGTGCAAATTACCCAAACCATTACAATAAAAACAGTGATTTTTGCAATATATCTTAATGTTATCTGACTATAATACATTAGAATCTATAAATACAAACTGCAAAGCCTACATACAGCTGAAACGCATGCATGAATGTCTCTATTTTTTTTTACACTGATGTAGACCTAAGACCATTCAACCCAGTGTTTTAAAGATTCTCTATGTGACAAGCTACCACGGAAGTTGGAAATATGTTCATCATGCAAGAGGGATCGTTGAGGCCGTTAAGAAGTTCCCTGCACACAAAACATAAGTGTTGATGATTTAGCATCTGCACGCGGAGGTACAAGTGTCTCGAGAAGTATGTGGTCACGTGTCGTGATGCATTGGGCAAAAGGAGCTAGGATAAGCTCCCAAACCCTTTTGAAGTACACCCTTACATATTTGGTCTCATTACTGTAAAACGTGTCCTAATTATTTACTTTTTTTCCTGTCTGCACAACGGTACATACTGCTGGTCATCATGGTGTCTGAGGTGTGTGAAGCCAGAGTGAGTGGACACCCTGGGTTGTAGGATGGCTGCAACTTTAGAGGCTACTCTTATATACGAAGCATTTATGAGAGCCAACCTAAAAAAGGAAGAGGAAAAACAGTTAGCACAAAACTCTTAAAAATGGTGACAAGTATTCCCATTATTTGTTACACTGTACATTTTCTACCACAAGAGAAGATTTCGTGAACATAAGCAAGTGTGACAGGGGTGAAAAGAACAGCACTCGGTGGCATTCACAGTAGTGGCATGTGGCCAAAGTCAAGTTGTTCTGTTTGTCTATGTACTGGTAGTCCTTAAAGACTCCCTTGCATCCCTTCAGTTACTCGTATGCTTCCCAATTTAATAACAAGACACCCATTTGCTTTGTTTTATAAGAGTCTTCTCTTGTTAATTTAGCATATCTGGAGTGTGTAAGACAAATGGATACTCACTCTAGTGACAGGGTGGCCAGTGGTGGGCATTGAGGGGGAGAAAGGAGAAAAAGCAAAAAAAAAAAAAAAAAAAAAAAAAAAAAAAAAAAAAGCACACAGCTGTTAAGAGGAACACGCACAAGCACGAATAAACCCAGGCTTCAAAACACATGCTAATGATGGGCTTTTCTCACGTCAGAATTTCCAAACAGTGATGCTTAAGATGAGTGTAGACTGAATAGGCTCTGATCCAACGAGTACAGACTACTGTAAAGCATGGTATACCAAACATAAACTAAGTCCCCTAAAGAATAGTCTAAGAGTCAAACACACAGGTTCTTATGCCATGAATAGCTCATGCCTGCAATGTTGTGCCGAGAAAACCGAAGCATTCACATGTCTGAAATGGTCTGTATTCAAGTATTATATGCACATACAAAAAAATGGATAAGAATAATATTGAATATCATGGGTCTATATTGTATTAAATAAAGACAGAAAACACTTGATTCAAAGGGTTCATGAGTGTATTTTTCTTAAAGTAAAAAAAACAAAAATGACAACATTTGGGCGTTTTTTAAATTTGTAATCCAAAGTCCATTCATTGGAGCAGCTGCTGTATTAGTATTCTTCCTTAAAATTTTAATATTATGATCCTTTGAATCAAACGCCATGGAGATGGTAGTCACCTTACAACATCCCCACCCAGTTCTGTCTCAGAACACACACACAAATAAAGTTAATGTCACAAATCAACACAAAATATATTCTTTAAAATGTTAGAGGGACGAGTGATTTTGTTCGTTGTTTTCTGCACAAGCAAATAGGGGCACACCTCAGATGTTACGCTTTAGCAAGACTGTTGAGGAAAAGTATCTCAAGATGAGCAAAAGAAAAATCTTATATTGAGGTAGCTGTGCTCTGCCCAGTGCAGAAAAACTTACTTATTTTCGATCATTATAGTTAAAAAAAAAACAAAAAACATCTATGAAGTTAATTTTCGCTCTAACATGGGGGACCATATACAAATTAGAATGAGACACACATACAGTTCATGCTTGGTCACAGGACATGCGGCTTTTGTTTATCAAAGGTTTTCTTTTGTTGTCTTTTTTTTGTTGTTAGCTAAGCATTCAAATGTTTCACTCCCAAACCTTCCCCCCCGTCCTTGTCTGCCACATGGAGCTCGTCCTCTCTGAAAGAGTTCTGAGTTTATACTGAAGACACAATGGTAAACATCAGAAAATAAATCAAGGCGGTATGTCTAAGCCACGCTGGTCAAACAATTTACAAAGCCATAAAAAAAGTTGCATAAAATAGTGTTCAGTCTCTGTACAGATCAAATTATTTCTGATATCCTAATTTTCCTTTTCATCAAGAGGGAAACAAAAAACAAAAAAGACCGAATTTTGCTGTTTATATTGTAGTGACACAGGACATGTTATTCCCACCATCATTAAAATATGAACCATAAAGGCAATATTGACATGAACAAAAATAATAACTGGCAACGGTACATTTTCTTTCACACCAGCAACAAAAAAGTCCACAGCTATGGGAGTGATGGTCTTCTAACACTCACATTTAAAGCCTCACCCATTCATTATTCCTATACCACCTCAAAACAGACGTCTTCTCAGTGTTAACATTTTATATTATTTGTTATGTGTCAAAGTTGGTCCTTTCTCTTATGCACGTGGTGGCACGCAGAGGCACACACACTAACTCTACAAATGCACACACACACACACGCACTAGCTACGCACATTACAGAAGGCAGAGAGAGAAGAGGAGAGGGAAAGAGGGAAGTGATGGCAGTGGGTGGGGAATGGAAAAGTCGAGGTTGTGCTCAAGTCAGTCAGGACCAGAACATGTCGGCCATGTTAGTGTCGCAGCTGTAGATCCAGAGGACCAACGGGAGGGAAATGGCCACAAAGGGCCACGAGATTCCCTCCATACATGCAGACAGGGAGCAGCCTTTGGAGTTGGCAGGCTTCTCCAGGTCTTTACCGGGCTCCAGGTAGTTCCTGGCAGCAAACTTGAGCAGTTCGTCCAGTAGAATGACAGGGAGCGAGATCTTGAGCACCATAAGCCACTGGGTCAGATTCAGGGGTGTGATCTGGAAAATGATCTGGAAAAGAAGAAACAACAGAAACAGCAATGAACAAAGTAACAGAATTAGGAAATTTGCCAACACAGCAATGTTTCCTTTCTTGTGCTCTGCATCCAGATGACAGTAAAACAAACTCTTTGTGTCAAAATGAAAAATAATGCTCACTGGCAGAGGTTCCACATAGAGGATGAGGAAGTGAAGGGACATGGAGAGGCAGATGGCTCCCAGCAGCCACACATTCTCCCATGGCGGCATCCGCAGCAGGGACTGGTTCTCTGACACGCTGTGAGGAACACAGACAAATGGTGATGTTTGTTAAAAAGTCACTCACTCGAAAAGAAAAACTCATGAATCTTTATTTCCCAACACACACACACACACACACAGTGAACGTAAAAGAGGAGCTGAAGATCAACAGCTGGGAAAGATGCCTAACCTATTAAGGGCATTGCACATCTCAATCGTGACCAGTACAGACAGGGCCATGGTCATCGGGTAAGGAGACTCAAACACTTTGCAGTCCATGCCCTGGTAGTCTGGATTTTCTGGACCACACTGCAGAAAATGGCTCTAAGAGGCAGAAAGAAAAAAAAGATCAGCAACGTTCTCCAACAGAAGAATCTGGCATATTAAAGTGCAGCAAATTAGCATGATAGCGTTATTAAGCTCTACCAGCTGGTAAAAGGTGATCCTTGGTCCATCCTCAGCTGCAACAAACCACCAGGCAGCAGCACCAACAGTGGCAGCACCAACATAACCTGACGCACACAAAGAAAAAAAAAATCATTCATACACAGACAATGGCACAGATGCTCATGAAACAGCAATTAAAACTTAAACATATAGGAGTAGCAGCAGCCGTCTTGCAAATTATTTGCTGTATACAGTATAGAGTATCACATAGCGCATATGTACACTCTTTGATTTTCACTACTTACATCCAATAGCTAGGTATCTGAAGAAAAGCCATCCAGAGATGAGCGGCTCACGAGCATTGCGTGGAGGCTTATTCATGATGTCCAAGTCTGGTGGGTTGAAGCCTAGAGCGGTGGCAGGCAAACCATCAGTCACCAGGTTGACCCAGAGCAGTTGGACGGGAATGAGAGCTTCAGGGAAGCCCAGAGCTGCAGTCAGAAAGATGCTGCACAAAAAAAGAGGAATGACAAATGATCAAGTGCCCTAAAACCATAATGTGTGTTTATTTCAGAAGAATGAAGTGTGTTTGTAAAAGCAAGTCATTCTCACCAGACAACTTCGCCCACATTTGAGGAGATGAGGTATCTGATAAACTGCTTCATGTTGTTATAAATGGCTCTTCCTTCCTCAACTGCAGCAACGATGGTGGAAAAGTTGTCATCAGCCAGCACCATCTCAGAGGCGGTCTTGGCCACAGCTGTACCTGAGCCCATGGCAATGCCAATCTCGGCCTTCTTCAGAGCAGGGGCGTCATTTACACCATCACCAGTCTGAGGAGAGAATGAAAAGCAGGACAGGAAAATATTCAGAGTTTTAATAGTCTGAAATAACTGACTCGTCTGAAATGAAACTCGTCTTTATCCAAGTGCTCCTTTAATCCAAGCAAAAAAGGGAAAAACAGCAGAAAACTGTGACAAAGCCAAGAGGTATAAGACATTAAAAATCTAGAAAAGAAATGGCACGGTTGGTTTTAGATGCTTTCGTGCATGCATGACTGAAGAACACCATTTTTTTCTTACCATAGCTGTGATTTCATCATAGGACTGCAGATACTCAACAATCTTGGATTTATGTGAAGGCTCAACCCGTGCAAAGCAGCGAGCCTTGACCACAGCCTCTCTCTGCTGCGCAGGTGACAGATCATCAAACTCTCGGCCAGTGAAAGCCATGCTGGAAACGTCATCATCTTCTCCAAAAATACCAATGCGCCTGCAAATAGCCACAGCCGTCCCTGGAATATACATGAGAACGCAGTAATTATTACTTCAGGTGTCTGGGAAAGAAACAAGCTGGTTAAGCCGTATTTGCCATGTTTTTTTATTATCTGTAGAGTAGCAGAGTGTTCTGATTTGTTTCGCTTTTAATTTTTCAGATACAACTGTCACATACCCTTGTTGTCTCCGGTAATCATAATTACTCGGATGCCAGCGAGACGACAGAGCCTAACAGAGGCTGCCACCTCTGCCCTGGGAGGATCCAGCATGCCCACGCAACCCACAAATGTCAGATCAGTCTGCAAGATAAGAAAATCACAGATTAAGGAACTTTAAAAAAAAAAAAAAAAAAAAAAAAAAACTGCTTTCAGATAATAAAGTGATCCGATCCATCTGCTTCAGCTCTCACCTCATACTCGATAAATCGAGAGGAGTCATCTAACATCAGCTCATGTTTGTTCAGGGGATTATCTCGTGTGGCCAGAGCCAGACAGCGCAGGGTGTCCCTGCCCGTTCCATACTCTCTGATCACAGACATTAGCTTTTCCTTGATTCCAGGGGTCATGGGTACCTTGTTACTGCCTACACGAACATGCGTGCACCTGTCAATCACTCCCTCAGGAGCACCCTATGAACAGGAACAAATCAGTTAATGAGAAAGGCAAAGACCAACCTCTAAGAAAATAATTTAACATGCAGCTGTGTCAAGGCTTCAAATCCTGTAATAATGCATAGTAGTTGCATTTCTTACCTTCACAAACATCTTGCCAACTGAGGAGCGTGCTTTGTTAGGAGTACAGTACACAGACATAGACTTCCTGTCTCTGGAAAATTCCAAGGTAAACTCTTTCTTCATCAGCTGCTTGATCACCTAAATATGCAACAAAACCAAACCACCAATAAGAATTTCTCTAATAAAGTGAAAAGCTGTACATTTTTGCACACTGACAGAGAAGGAAAAGCACACTTAAAGCATTCAATTACATACAGAATTGCAGGCGTTGGCTCGCTCAACCCTGGAGAGGCCTTTCACGTCTGTATCAAACACGTTCATCTTCTCCACCAGGCATGTGAGAGCCGTCTCTGTGGCCTCACCCACCTTCTCGTACACACCTTTGGCCTGGGAAGAAGAAAAAAAACAACAACCAATGTTAATCTTTTATGTGGAAATTGCCACACAAAACATGTAAATGTCATTTCAAGGATCAAGAACCATTAATACTGCAAACCTCATTGAAGTCCAGCGAGGAATCATTACAGAGAGCACAGATAGAGGCCAGCTCCACCAACGCATCATACTGGGAACATTTGACTGTTTTTCCATCATGGAATCTAAACAAACAAACAAAAAAAAAATAATGAAAAAAAATATCAGAGGAACAGTTAGGAAACTCACATTTGCAGAAATAGAAATTTAGCATTTATGTCTATCTTGCTATAAGATGCCCCAAATAAAACTTAGAGGCATAGAAGAAGACTGAATACTCACACTTGTCCATCTGGGGCATATGTGGAGCCGCTAACGGTGAATTCCTTTAATGAACAGTGATCGCCCTCTGCCCGATCAATGATAAACATCTAGAGGAACAAAAGAAACATTTTTGAATTTATTATAATATTTGAAAGACACATAACATATTTATTGTCTGTATAAATAACTTTTGGTTGCTCCCTTTAGGGGGTCGCTTCCGTCTCCCTGCTAGGGATTAGAGATACAGTGAGATGGATAGATCATCAAGTAACTTTCAGGGTTTCTGCAGTTCTGAATGTAAGAGGTACAATAAAGAAAAAAGAAAAAAAAAAGAAAAACAGCAACAGACATGTCCTTTTTCACACTACATCCACAAACCACCTCTGAGGTCTTCACCCTTTCCTCAACATCCTTTGTCCAATACATCCACCAACCCATCTCAACCTTACTTCTGTAACTCTTTTCTCCAAAAGGCTCAACCTAAGCCGTCTTTCTGATGTACTCATTTCATCGCTCCCAATGAAAAACTCAACGTCTTCCACTATCACGTCCACCTCCTCCTGTCCAATGTGTGCAATGCTGTATTCATTACATTATAACTCGAGTATCAAAGTCCGAAGATGGTAAAGGGGGAAAGCTGAGAGACTGATGCACACTGCATCCAGCAGATGGCATCAGACTACAATCGACATCAAAGAAACCTTCAGTCCACTCTAACATTGAACAGAGTGTAATGATGAAATGGTGAGCCAAAGCAGACACCACAAAGGGCTTTGATGGGAGGGTTCAATAAATGTCATCTTACAACAAGTTAGGACTCCACACAGGGATTCTTTGCCTAACACATAATTACAGCCTATAAATATTGCTTAAACATAAAATTAATATGGCAAAAATGTCAGAAAACAAGAGCAAGGATAACATGAGAGGAAACAAAGAGGTTTTCAGGCAGATAGCACTAGCTCTGTTAGGAATGTCATTCAGAAGTGTGCATTAATTCAAACATACATGGATTATTCATTCCACATTTGCCCCAAACTGAGAGGAGCAGAACAAAGCTGCTCAGGGGATGAAAATAGAAATATCTGAATAAAATGATGAGCTGGCATTATGGCTGCACTATCCTCAGGCACTAGCAAGACTTCAAAAGGCAGTGACGTCACTGGCTGTCCTACACAAAACACAAGAACAAGAAAAAGGCACTGCACTGAAGAGAAGCCTTCGGTCACTCATGGCAGCAAATTTCAGTAGTGCCCTAGTTGGACAGCAGCATCTTGGCCACTGCAGAGGTAGCTTGCAGAAAATTAAAGGATGAGCAAGGGATAGAGACACAGGGGCAGCCGAAAGAGACACAAGGTCAGTTACGCAACTCTACTGGTTTTGCTGCAAGTGACTAACTACTGCATACTGATCAGCATGCTGCCTGAATGAGGGTGGGGGCTGAGAGCACTGAAAAAGATGGAAGGAAAAGGGGGGAAGAATACATATTCTGCTGTACTACAACAGACTGTAAAAAGATGCAGTATAAAATTATTCATGCACTAATAAGGGATGATAAAAAAAAAAGAAACACCTGTAATTCTGAATCTCATTTCATCCCCAAATATGTACAACTCAATTCTTTCATTGTGTTATTGTTAGCCGTTCAGCCCGAGTAGGCTTTATTGCTCAGTAAATCACTATGTTTAAAGACGAATTGGGGAAATTTTACAGTCAAACAGTGACACAGTGTTTAGTTAATATTACCACAATTCAGTACTAGTTGCTGGTTCAGAGTCCAGAAAATATTAGGAAACTCCGCATTAAATTATGTTCACTCAACATAATCACATAATGTTTAATTACAGTGGTATACCATTTAACAGATCCACAGTGAGGCATTTTTAGCACATAAAAACCAATCTACAGAGATTCCAACCAGTTTTCCTCAGTGTGGACTTAGGAGTAACCCCAAAACCAAACTCAGATTCGCTGATGTGCCTAGATGTTGGTGTATGTTTTGAAGGAAGGAAGGTTCAGGGCTGAAGCAATCAGCATCATGGGCTCATCCGGTTAGAATAAGAAAAAGCAGCCATCTAATTCAGAATTATTCTGAGGGTTCTCCTTTTATTCTCAAATAAATAAGGCAAAGAAGGAAGGAAACAAAGACACACATGGACTGCCACAGCTCAGCTGCCGCCCCGTGTGGAAGTGAAGAAAGAGTGAGCCAAAAGTGAATGCAGTCCTTATATACTGTGTGACATATAATGTGTGACAGGTGAGTGCAATCAAGGACAAGCACCACACCCAATCAAAGGTGAGAGAACTAAACAAGGTGCATCTGGTGAAGTGAGTGGGTGTGCTGGGATGTGCTAAAAGGTGGGTCTCTACAACAGTGTGACAAAAATACATTAAATCCACTAAAGATACACTGCGCTCCATCTTCCTTCCGTCATGCACTCAAAACGACTGCCCACTGTTTTCTTACCCTGCACACAGACATCTGATTGGTCGTCAGTGTGCCAGTCTTGTCGGAACAGATGACAGATGTACAGCCAAGGGTCTCTACAGAGGGCAAACTGCGGACAATAGCATTCTTCTTGGCCATACGCCGTGTTCCTAAAGCCAAGCAGGTAGTGATGACAGCCGGCAGCCCTGCAAAACAGCAACAGCGGAGCCACAGCAGAAAAGAGGATTATTAAGTGATGAAAATTCTTTAGTCGTCTCGTGAAGTAGTGGAAAATGAAGCAAGCATATCAAGGACAGAACTACATTTGCAAATGTCCAGCTTACCCTCAGGAATTGCAGCTACTGCAAGAGCCACAGCAATCTTGAAGTAATAGACAGCACCTCGGATCCAGGAACCTCCATGAACCGGGTCGTTGAAATGTCCAATATTGATGATCCACACAGCAATGCAGATCAGTGAAATAACCTTGAATTAAAAATTTATTTTTTTATTTAAAGATCTTTTAATATCAAATGGAATAAACATTAGATTTTTATTTTTTTTTTTTTTTTAAAAAGGCCATCCCTAATAATGTGCAAAACAATGCAATTTAAATAACCTTGGAGAGTTGCTGCCCAAACTCATCAAGCTTCTGCTGCAGGGGTGTACGCTCCTGCTCCGTTGTAGCCATCTCATCTCGGATTTTGCCAATCTCCGTGTTGCCAGCTGTGGCAACCACCACACCGACAGCCTTACCAGCTGCAATGTTGGTACCCTGGTGGAGTAATGAGGGAAAATAAAGAGGCAGTAGAAAACTAAAAATCTTAAGACAGTTTTTCCCCTTTGTCAATAACTACTTCTCTGAGACCGGTTAGAGACGCACAGAAGTAACTTTTATAAACAAATTTCAAAAACAGACGCTTAAAATGTAAATAGCAGCACACTGTTGCTTTTATAGGTGTACTCTGGGTGATAGAAAAGATGGAAAGGGGGAATCATGCTCCCCCTCAAAAAAAAAAAAAAAAAAAAGCGTGAAAGTGTAAAATGACACCAAACCACCTAAGATGGTCTAGTGAGTGACTCACTGAAAACAGCATGTTCTTCTTGTCCTGGTTGACAGCACGCGGGTCAGGCACTGGGTCTGTGTGTTTGATCACAGACACAGACTCTCCTGCAGGTAGAGGAAAACAAAAGATAAGAGAATGGGAAGCAGACGCACAGTTTCTACACAGCAGAGCATGTAGTGGTACTTGTGATGGTTGGTTGACATTTTGGGCAGATATGTGCAGAAAAGGCTTTGCAGCTGACTGAGCAGGCCCGACAATTATCAAATACTGCAATTCCACTGCCTTTCAAACCCCTCATCTGATGTGTGTATGTCTCTGTGTGTAATCAACTGTGCAAGACTGCACATTTTCTGATAGAGTAAGGCAGGGAGCATTTGACAGGCGGCATGGCCATGAATGGGGAAGGAAAGAGGGGAGAAAAATAGCTCAAACACTAAAATATCCCATGGAATTTGCTACCAATTAAGGCAGCGGAGCAAGACAAGCGATTTAAGGACTTGGTTCACATAAACTCTTCTCCCCTACATTTTCCATCCTTCAATATTCTCCCCTTCTATTTTTCTTTCCATCTACCTCATTGTCCAATTATCCACCCACAGAATCATCCATTTACCTTTTATTCACATCACTCATTTCATTTTTGTCACAGCTGAGCAGCCATGACAACTAAGTGCAATGAAATGTGCAGAAAAGGAGACAAGGTGCTTATTCCTGCTGTTACATGTCTGGGTTGATCAAAAGGTCAGAGGTAGCTGGGCGAAAAAATAAATAAATAAAAAAAAAAAGCAGCAATGCGTGAACAAGAAAGAAACCATAAAATATAAAGCTATGGAAAAGCATTAAAAGATGGTGGTGTGTGTACAATCACTCTTTGTGGGTATGACAGAGCTCACAAATACAAAATAAATATTTAAAAAAGCAAATGGCTAAACTCTGAAATTACCTGTAAGAATCGACTGGTCTACCCTCAGTGTGGTTGACTTGATAGAAGTGAGCCTGATGTCTGCAGGCACTTTATCGCCGACTGTGGAGAGAAACAAAACAGGATATAAATAAGTACCTCTTAACAACTTAAATGCATCTTTGAATGGGACTGACAACTAATGAATAGATACTTTGAACAATGCAACTTACAAAAGCAGTTTTGTAATTATCCGATGCAACATTATGCTGAGGCATGCACATACCCCACATGTAAAAATACTCTACTAAATTTAGAGTATTTTATCATGAAAAGGAAAACCTGGGTTAAAAGCTATAAATAAATATTAATCACCACACACAAATGCTAAACACATGAACTGCCATGTTATCCCATCTCATGCTCCCTGGGAGTAATAAAATAATCAAACTCAAGCCTGAGAGCGCCATGAATTCAAAAATGATTAATGTTCCACTCATCTCCTGCACAGGATGCAAGTAGATCGCAGCTCATTTTTTTCACTAACACCGGGCTTCAGTGAGCCCCAGTAACACGATCACAAAATGCAAATACACACCAAATTTCAAACTAGTGTTTTCTCTGAATAAATACAGTAAGTACAATTAAAGCAACAGACTTATTAGCAACCACTACTTTGCATGATTTCCTCATGCAGGTGGGTCTGATCTGCAAAGACTTACTGAACATTTCAGGGATGAGGCTGGAAATACAAACATTTAAAAAGTCTTACTAGACTTGTGCTTCATGTATCAAACTTCACCTTAAAAATGTTTTTTTAAATTAAATGTTTGTGTTTTTTTTTTTTAAAGCCACTTTGGATTCAAATATACGCTAACAATATTTTCATCATGCACTAAAACATCACATGGCCTAAAAGTGTAAAGGTAAAAGCAATGACCCAGAAGCTCTTAATAGACCCCTGGATAATGGAGAGTGATGACAGACTTGTAAACCAACCCTTAGGCCTGCGGTACCCTTCAGAGAAGAGGAAGAGAAAGAGGATGTAGGAGAGGAATGGGAAGAGGGATTAGATGAGTCCTGCAAACCACACATCCAAAAATGGGAAAACTATTTTGATCAGTTGAAAACATGCAGCTGGATTTGAAGAGGGGGATAGTAAAAAAGTTTTTTTAAGCAAGGAAAACCCGTTTTACGTCAGATAAGCTGAAATAGAAACAAATATGACATGTCCTTGCATACAGATAGCTCGTTAATTCAGACAAGTCTCGTGAGTTGGTGACAGCTTTTGCCACCAACAGAATTAAGCGAGGAAATTCTACTTCAAACTAAACCAATATAAGCTGATCACCACACCATTTCACATCATGTGTACAGCGCACAATTCACATAAAAATGTTATTACTGTAGCGAGTTAATGCTGGGTTCATGTTAAGTGTAATGCTCGTGGACTGCACCAGCTGTACTACCAAATTTGGTTCTGTAGTTGTCCAAACACTGTCAAAATCCTTATCATCGTCACCTGCCTGCAAACGAAATACCATTAACAGATATGAGACAGTGAAGAAGATGAACAAGTGCAGTATGGGGGAGGACAAAAAAGAAATTAGGAACTGTAGTCACTGGAAATATTAGAAGGCCCTGTGGGACTTTTAAAACTCACTAATTAGAAAACCTCCTACCTTAGAGTAACAGTGAAGCATGTCGCTATTTTCAATCCACTGGTGTATACTAGGAATAAGGTCACAGCAAGCAGACTAACCCACTTTCACAGACAATACACAGAATACTCTGCCTATTCAACAGTAAGACCCTTAACTGCATACATTACCCAATGACGATGTACAATATGTTCATCATCATGACAATCTTGCTTATCTGGGAATTGTGATCGTATTTTAATTCCAAAAGGAAAAGCATGCATTAGTTAGTATTAGATCGATAAGCATAAACTGCAGTTAACAGTGCCTCTGTGCAGTGGCTGTTTCCTTTTGTTAAGAGTAATTACTCTAAATACTTTTCAATTATCTACAAAACAAAATTTGCTGCAGTCACCCAGGACTGCAGCTGTATAAACTTAGAGGCATTTTATTTTTTCCAGAGTGGACAGCCCCTGGGATTGGGACCCCCTTCCTTTCCCTTGTGAACAAAAGGGTTTTATCTGTATTATCTGCTCCCTCGAGTGCAGGACAAATGTCAGGCAGCAACTTAACCGATAAGGCCACATCAGTTTCTAAAGACAGAAGCTGTTTTCAGACACTATTCAGGGTCTGTGTTCCCACTTTCCAACCTTATCGTGGACCAAAACCATGATTCAATGTGACTTTAAAATATAGCCTGAATTTCAGGATGTATGAATCTGTCTGTAATCAAAACAACAAGCACCCACTCACAGGGGGTCCAGTGAAACTTTCGCAGCCTTAGAGGGCTGTATATTTTCTCTCCCAGTGACTCAGACTCTCTGATGTGCTAGCACGTAGGCTTCCAGTCTCCTGGGACCTTTCATGAGTTCATCCACCTCCCCAATGACTTCTACTTCTTTTAAGAATTTGGGGGGGGATTCAAGACAACCCCTAAGGACGCACAAACACAAGACATTGTCCATTCATGTAATGTTTAGTAAGTTACAACAATGGATCAATACTTTTGTCAACTTTTCTGTTCTCCTTAATTTATTCCTCTTCCTCTCTCGTGGCCAAAAATCAACAAAGAAATACCTAGGGGTGATGACAATAAACAGGCCATCCTGCACTCCTGAAAATGAGAGGAAATTTGGCCATCTGGAGCAGAAATTATTCATCAACTTGAATCTGTATCTTTTCTACATGTTACATCCTGTCTAGTCTCTTCCTCTGGGCTAAAACACATTAATGGTGACCACTGGCCAAAGGCTGGGGTTAAAACTGTAAGTCAATGAGAACAGAGCTGATGGGTTTTATATGTCAAGAAAGAAAAAAACAAAACAAAGAATTGTCTGTTACGTCAGTCGAGTGCAGAAAGCAAATAAAACCAGTACATTAACGCAGGAAACGAAGTACACAGTTAAGAGAACAAAGCCTATAAAATAAATCAGCTGCTGCTACACTGACACCAATGTGTTTCCATTTCAAAAAGATTTTAACGGGAAAGTTGATCTCTAACAAGATGAGCATTTTAGCAGTTAATCTCCATCTACACCAACAGCCATCACGTTTTTTTGGCATGCCCTGCTTCAGATGTTAAAAATAGTTCAAGCCCTCCATTCCACATTTTTAATCAATCATTAACCAAAAAATGAAAAAGAAAGATGCAAGTTGAATTTTGTGTAAATAACAGGTCAGTAATTGCATCAGCAAACTCTTGTTTACATTCCTCAGTGAGGTCTGCCCCACAGTTTGAGTACACTGGTACAAACTAACACACCTGAAAATATTTATGATGGAAAACGGTGAAACGCGCAGGCTAACTGTTTGTTCAATGTGTGCTTATCACACCAATTTTTAATAGGACAATTTCCAGAGTGATTTTAAAGAGTTTTACGTCAGCCTTTCTGGCCTGATACATTTTTTTATGTATTTTTTTTAAGTAGGAGAAAGACTCCACTCACACTGGAAAATGCAACAATGACTGTTGGGTAAACCAATTTTTTTCCTTCCCCATTTGCTGAACTTCTGCTCAGAGTTGATTTCAAACTACCACCATGTTAATCAGTCACTGTTGTGGCTGCATTTTTAATATAATGGATGGCCAGTGTGTTTAGCCTGAACTTTGCATATCAGAGCTCCATAAAACATCAACTCATCCTACCAATTTGTGTTTACTGCTTTCAGTTTTGAATGTTGATATATCGGAGACATTTTTAATGTTTGCTTTCACAGTAGTTTTAGAAAAGCAAGAGCATTCAGTAACGGCTTGCTCTTCTCAGTAGCAGCAGCTATACCCAGACAATGCCAGATCCTGACCCTCTTTGCTCACAAAAATTACTCAGACTGGATTTTTGTTTAATATCAGCTGTGAGACAATTTAATTTAATAATGAATAACTAACTAGTGTTTCTATTGAGACAATTTTGAGATAGAAACTGCTCTTATGGATTATAGTGAGTGAAAAGAGAACAAGAGTGAAAAAAAAAAAAAAAGTCTATACAAATGACGGACTGCAAGGCACAAAACCAGAGCAATTCACACACTCAGCACACACTTCAGCTTAGCACTTCACAACTGGTCTGACAAAGCATCTGAGATTGTGAAAGAAAGATATAAACCACATGCACCCCGGTCCAGCAGGGTACTTTGCAACTGACATTATACCCATCACTATCCTGTTTTATAACACATACAACTTACTGGTTTCACCAACACTGATAACAAAAACATATGCACACAATTCGTTAATCATGTTATTGTCAGTACTCAAGGAATCATTTATCTCATTAATGGCCACGCAAACATCCTGTTATCACAGACCCTAAATCACACTGATCTAACTGCATTGATAAAGCTTGCAAAGTGGGCTGTTTGAATTAGTGACTGTCCCACTAAAATGTCAGATTTGCTGAATGTTAATAATTGTTGAATATATGGTGATATATGTTAAAGTACTTCATACTTATCTTTAGTGGATCTATTCAGGTCATGTCAGACAGACAGAAGCAATTACATTTTGGTTTATCTTCACTCATTTTGTCATGACATGATGGATGCAGTTGTAACTTGGGTAGACTGAAGCACAACAGGGGCCAAGCACTCTGTGTAATCAACAAGCAGTAACTGGAAAGTGGTCATACAATTCCATCTCGTGTTTTTAAATTACCTTCAATCCGTGATTCATTATCATTTGTTGGAAGCCATTAGGTTTCAGGTTTGTGATTTATTTCGGAAAACTAATATTCTCTTAACTGTGGAGCTCGGTTTTGTCACTGCTGCCATCTCGTGTATTCAAAATTGATACGCATTTACAAGAAACAGCTGTCCAACAATAACAAATGAATGCACCTCCACAGTTAAAGAAATATTGTTGACCAAATGGCAAATTTTAAAAAATAAAAACAAAAAGTGAATATAATCCATCAGGTTATACTGGGATTTAGGGCTGTGCAATATGACCAAAATCTCATATCCCGATATAAAAATTCTGTCGTCCCGATAACGATATAAATCACAAAAATGTAACATTTTCTGTAAATTCTGTGAATCTCGGGCAGCTTGACTTGCGGGAAGTGTTTCCAGCTGCGCGTCATGTAGCTGGAGTCGAGTGTTTTAACTGATGCATGAAACTATACATTTTTAGACATAAGTTGTAAAGGCCGCTGTTTGTGCCGTAGTGTGGTTATATAAAATATAAGAGAAAGAGAGAACTTTAAATTAATAAAGCCACTACAGTGACCATCAAAACGATGAAAAAATATTGCCGTAAACAGTTTATTTTGCGACACCACGAAACAAACGATAGCGTAAAATGAAACAGACGTTTTTATATCGTCATCTGATTTATATCGTTATATCGAACAGCCCTACTGGGATAGTTTTTCAAGTACAAATCTGTCAGAGCACAGCACAGCATTTACTTTAAAGGCAGTGGATCCTCATTCATTCTACAACCGTTCTGTAAGCTTGTGATAAACATTACAGACACACTCCACTAAGCTTTCCTCTGGAATAAAGGGAAAAAAATATACAACCCAAGACAGAGTACAAGAACAAAGATAAAAGATAAAAAGAGACCAAATGAAGTCTTGGTAAGAAAACACACAACACAGAGTAATGAGGAGCAGTGACGCAAAACGCATAAACATGTGTGGCTCTATCCAAGCTGAGGTCAGCCAACTAACGCTCAGTAACAGATTGAACCGCTGCTCTTGTATTGCATAATTTACTTGGTACTACAATTATTCTGAAATAGTCTAGGGAGATAAACAGGATGAGAGATCGGCTGTGTGTCTACATGTTGAACACTGTAAAAAGCACATCATAACTGGTTATGTTTACAGAGCTGTACACATCTTATGTTTAACAATAGCACATGACTGCTGGACTACAGCCATGCTTTTAAACAGCTTTAAGTTTTTAGATAAGAATTACCAATACTGCATGCAATCAGTTTAAAAAAGGAAACTAAAACCAGATACTGATGTAGACCAATCAATAAGAAATTACATTATATCCTGTTAGAAAAGCATGGTGAAAAAAAACCATGAATAAATCTAACAATCGTTATGTTGCTTTGCACTTCCTGTTGCGATTTCAATGACCTGAACCAAAGCGACAAAAAGATGAAAAATTTCTCACAATATATCCTGAACAGTGTGTTTAATTTTGTTGTTTGCTTCTTTCATGACAAGCTGGCAGCATCTAACAACATCTGGAATATTATTTTATATTAGTGTACACCTGATATTTTTAGTCTTACCTGCCACCTCCACAATGTCCCCAGGCACAATGTCCCTTGCCTTGATTCTCTGGACACTCTTCCTATCCTGGCGGTACACCTTCCCCATCTCTGGCTCATACTCCTTAAGGGCTTCGATGGCATTTTCTGCATTTCGTTCCTTAAAAGTAGAAACAGGAATTCGACTTAAAAACAAGCTAGCACCACACATGCAGCTCAGAGGCTGAGGATGAAAGGGGAGGTGAAACTAAAACGACTCTCGGATAGTCAGTGTACAGCTATTCACAATGTACATAATGGAGAGTTATCTTTATGTAAGCAAACCGACAAAGTGAACCAGGAGAGGAAGTGAAGCAGAGTAAACACTGCGGTGTTGCAAAAGGCTGAAATAGTAGGAATGCTACATTTTCAGAAGTGAAACACTTTACAGTTACCTTCAAAGGACCCCTAATTTATGTAAAACTGTCCCTATTTTAAATACTACAGCTACATTTTTACATCAGTTTTCCCAAATATTCCTTTCAGTCTCACCATTTTCCTTCCTTACCATTCTTCACTTTTCTTTGTCTGGCCGATCGCTTACAGACTGCATAGTTTGAGTGGCAACTCTTAACATAGCGGTAAGTAGGCTGCACATGAATAGACATAACAAGACCAGGCACACAAGTTATGACCTTTGTAAGGGAGCACAGAAAAATGGATACAAAGCTCTTAAAATGGCTGCCAGTAAAGGTGAGGCCAGTTAAGGGAAGCTAAGCAACAAATACAAAACTACAGGCGCCAAACCACCACCAACATGATAAGCAGCAAACAGATCACCCTTCCATTCTACATCATTCATAGTGGCTTTGTAGGAATAAGCAAAGGCAAACAGGCACTTAACAGCTCACCATTTACACAAGCCTCAGCAGGACTGTTCAACGAACATTTACTTTTACAGGCAATCCAGCGGAGATACACCCGCCTACCAGGTGTCTTTGACGAAATATAGTGTGGTGTGGTTTATAATCACATAAATAAATCAAAATAGTAAATTGGAATTTTATCCCCAGGTGGCTTTAACAAGCAAATGTGCAGTTTGGATTACATCAGCACCGAGTGAGAGAAGAAAACCTATTTAACAAAACGCCTGATCTTTCAATCCTGACCCCAGGGAAGAAGTTAATTTGTCTACAGATATTAAGCACAGTTTATCATGAAGAGCTACCCCTAGTTGTCCCTCAGACATTGATAATCCTTTGATAAAATTAAACAAGAAGCCAATAAAACATTATGTCTGGTAAGTTATGTTTTCTTCATTTCTGAAATGTTATTTGGATCTTACAAAAACAAAACAAAAAACAGGCAATATCAGGAAAAAAAATCCAAACTAGTCTTGATGTAGTCTAATAACTAATACTAGGAATACAAGGGTTGATGGAGAGGGGACAGATTTATTCTGACTGCAAAGCATACGTAGGATGAGGAGACAGGAAGAAGTGCAAATAAGTTGTCAGATAATCTGAATAATGGAGACTGGTAATCTGATCAAACCTTCTTTGTCCATAACATTATTAGTTTCCTCTTAAGAGAGACTTCTACAAGCTACACAACATCTATGCATATTTTTGTGATATTAAGCTTTTTAATGGCACGATGAATAACTGGCAAGACAGAAACTGGTAGGGGGAAAAAAAAAAAAAACTACTCCCTGCTCACCCCACTAAGCACTATTTAGCTTAGATTTTAACCAAATCTACTAAGTGTGATGTTATGTGGAAAACCTATCTGCTTACAAGGAAGCCGAGTATTCATAACAGTACATGAAAATTTCACTCAGGTAGCCAAGTTTTAATGACCCATGTGAAGTCAGATTCAAAACTGCAATTTCGTTTACCTGCCAAACTCCTACAATGGCATTTGCGATGAGAATAAGGAGGATAACAAAAGGTTCCACAAAGGCTGTAACAGTTTCTTCTCCCTCTTCAAACCAGGCCAGGACCTGCAGACAAAACAGAAATTAAGGGAATCAAACACAATGCAAGCAATTTATATTTAAGTGTGAGCTATAAGGAACACTAAAGTCCCTGGCCTGGGATGATATGGCATATTTTTACCCAAGAACACCCAGTAATGAATATTCTAGCATATGTCAGAAAAAGTATTTACACAGAATTATATTTTAGATTATTCACTGAAGTTGTATCATTTGAGTTTACTTTGTTTCACAGAGTTGCAAGAATGTTGACTCGAGTAGAACAAGCTTGCAGGCTTGATGGTGAAGATGCCTAAATTCACAAAACCTGCCCCTTTACAACCAAATCAAAATACAAAGGACTTTTGAAATCACAACATGAAACAGAAAATATCAGAGCTGAACACCACATTGCGTCATTCACATGAATGGAGAAAAGGGAGGTAAAAAGGTCACAGCTATTTTCAGCTGATTGTCTATTTAATGGCCCAAGACAAATAGCTCCACAAGCGCAGTGACTCCAGCTTTATTTCACATGAAATGCTACAACCCTTTTATAGAACAAATATTATAAAAGAACTCAATAAATCAATTAAATGTGAGAAACCAGCAAACATAACCTCACAGCCAAACAAAATTAAACAAGTCAAACTGTGGCTTACACTGAATATTTATTTATGATCAGTTACTTACAATTTGGACTTGAGGCCTTTCAATCAACTTTCTGGACAATAGTAATTGTCAGGTTCATGTTGTTATTTCCTTACACTGTTTGCCATGAACTTTGCCTGTTGGTGGAGTTGTGCTAGAATCTCACTTTGCCTTAAGAGTGGTTGGAAAAATTATTTTAATCATCAATAATCATTTAAAATTTTATGATTATACCAAGCCAGCTTCTGACAGCATTGCGAACGGGGCCAAGTGTGTGAGAGGGTATTAATCACTTTCCCTTCTTTTAGAAACTGTGCCAGGAGAGAAGTGTGTCAACTGCCTCTCTCCTACTCCAACCTATTTCAACACTGCCAATCAAACATCAAATTTAGACTTTATACTAAAGAAATTTACACTGCACCCATCAGTTCCTGAATGTTTTAATGTAACATCTAACAAATGTCTGCATATAACTTCATATTCACACTGAAGTAAATGTAAATGTGTCTGCATGTGGTGTGATTGAGAGAAGGCCGAGTACTACAGCTGATGATTTATAAGCTCTGAAAAGCATAGCTGGCTGTTGTCACCATGCCTTGGTGTCTCAGGATAGTCTGAGCCAACGGGAGAGTGGCCAATCCTTGAGTAGAAGCAGAGCCACAGGATACTCAACCTACCACTGTGTCAAGCATACTCTACGCTGGGGATCGCCACTTATTGGTGGCAAGAATATAAAGCATTCAGAAGTTATGTTTGTTCATACCGGACAAGTAATGACTCCAAATATTAGTCCTCGCTATACTGTAGCAGTATGTTACCAGTAAAATCAATCACCACTGAAGTATACCGACTTCTCATGTGTCTGTCGCCTTCTCTCTTTATAACAGCCAAGTGTTTGCTGCTCTTGTCAACAACACGCCACGCATTCAGACTTGTTACAGTTGCAGATTCACCCATTCTCAAACTGCCTCAGCGTCAGTGCTCCTTTTGAATTACAGACTTCTGGAGCATTGATGTGTTAACAGAATCTCTATAAAAACAACATGCTTGAAGAAGCCACAATAATTTACGATTAGCTTCAAGAGCAATGCCGTGTTTGCACAGAATCAGAAAAAAGAAAAATATGAATCTGTGTTTTGTCACCAGACAAATTCTGGGTGACTTTCTTTTCTTATTTTGAACAGTTTTCTTCCTAAGCTATAATCTGCACAGAATCAATTGCAAAATGATAACTATATACAATGTGTAGGCTGACAACGCTGAACTGTGGAGAGAAAAGGGGGAAAAAAAGCTTTCTAAACTCATCACTGAGCGGTTGAAAGAAGGATGGTGGTAGAAATGAACATAAATGATGTTCAACTGGCTGAAAGCCAAGTTTTAGTATTACATTTTGTACTCAACGCTAAGTAATCAGTCTTGAGGCGAGAGAGCGCTTCTATTCAAGTATTCCATATGAATGACTCTCTCACTATTCTATCATTAAAATACTGCCAGTGTACAAGTGTCACATCCTCTTCACTGATTATTACCACTATGAATAGCCAGTATTGTCTGAAAGCCCACTGCACACATCACCCACACTGCTAACATAACATGTGTTATACTTACAAACGATATGCAGGCAGCAAGTAAAAGGATCCTCACAAGCAAATCTTCGAACTGTTCAATCACTAGTGCCCAAAGTGATTTACCTGGGGAGGGTTAACATCAAACTTAAGTGTGACACATTTTAAACATATGCATGTCACCCCCCCCCCAAGCATCCAGAATGGTTCACTCACCCTCCTCCGCTGGTAGTTCTGTAGATCATCCCATTCATAACGAAGGAAAAAAGGTGGACAAGCAGTTAAAGTTAAGCAGTTGATACATAATAGCATATTTCAGCACAAGTGAAGTACATCAACAGCCAATGATACTGTAGTAGGATGATAAAGACAAGTTGCTCATAAAATTGGTCACAGAAGAGATGGTTTCCAGTATTTCAACATGCACATGGTGACGTAAGCTTCCTTTTTGCTCTTTCGCCTGTTACATATCTGGAGCCATGGGCCATAACGCGGCGCCGGGAGAATAGCTTCTTGTTTTTGAACAAACCTATGTAAACCAGCTCCTTACCGTTTGGCCCATATCGTTCCCGTTGTTTCTTCACTTCTTCTAAACTCAGACCCGTGCTTTCGTTCACATTAAAAAAGCTGTAAACTTCTTCCACCGTCTTTGTGTGTGCGTTGTCCATGGTGAATGGCCACTTGAGGACACCGCTTAGTTGGCTGGTTCCAACCTCAACCTATCAAGGTGGGTTTTCTAACTCCCCCTCCTTCGGTGTCACCGTAATTGAAATTTAAAAATAGATATATATTTAAGCGGAAACCCACAGCGATGAGTGTTACGAGCTAAGTAGTTCCAACACAGGATAGCGCGGCGCACAGGTGTGCGGCGAGAGTGGACAAATTAGCGGCTCCCGGGCTAGCGAGCGGCTAACTGGCTAAAGCTAGCTAACTATTGCCTCTGGTCCTTTGGCTCTGCTTGAATTCGCCGGCTTTGCTTCGCTAGCTGCCTCGTGAGATCTTGGAGAAAAAAAACATATCAACGCTGCTGTCTCAGCTGGATGTTGTTAATGTTGTCCCTTTCATTTAAAACAGCGACTCCCGGAAAAATTGCGTCCGAATGGATGATTTAAACATGTGGGTAAGTTGCAGCTTGGCTCCCGTCGCCCGCTTTGCCTGTGTGTTGCGGAATCAGCAGCGTCCTCATCAGCACCAATAGCGTTTCTTCTCGAATGCGGTGTTCAGTGTCCGCATGTGGAATCACCTCATTGGTTGGAGATACCGGAAGTCCTTCTCGCTCTCTTACGCACACACTCAGTGCTTTTCGTAATTGCACGGTGGGAACAGTACACTGGAGCATGTGTTTAGTCAGTTTGTACATGTGACAGTGAGTCGGAATGATTTTCAATCGTATCTTAAAAAAATACTTATGTAATTGATTTTTACTGTAAGGACATGATTTGTTATTGATATTCAACTATCGTAATTTGCATGGTTTTTTTGAGGCAAATTGTACTTTCATAATAGAACATTCCAGAAAAAGTAACAGTCCGATAACAGATCTTCACCATTATTTGTAAATAATTAGCTAATGCAAATCGATTATTTAGTATATCCGTTCTCCTCTTTTCAAAAGAATAACAC